CCCTGACTCATTACCAACTATTTACCCATTCCTTCGGTCTGCAGCAGTGGCAAAGAACCTGTCTCTCTACAGGCTTTGAACTGCTGGGCAACCAGTGGGAATGTTGGGTGTTTTCACAGGGTGGGATGGGCAGGAGCACAGCCTGTTCCAGACTGTCGTGACAGGAACAAGGAGTATGTGCTCAGGGTTGTTTTCCTGCATCTAACAGGATGACTGTCTGGGAAAATAATGTAAGTCGCTAACAAAATTAAGGTAGGTAATGCAAGCACTTCACTGAGGGTATGTCTATACTACCCTCCTAGTTCGAACTAGGAGGGTAATGTAGGCATACCGCACTTGCAAATGAAGCCCGGGATTTGAATTTCCCGGGCTTCATTTGCATAAAGCCAGCCGGCGCCATTTTTAAATGCCGGCTAGTTCAGACCCTATGCCGCGCGGCTACACGCGGCATGGACTAGCTAGCATGCAGGCCTAAGTGCTTTCAGTGAGATACTGAATGTTCCCAACTCCCATTTATTTGGGAGTGAGGGCACTCTCACTTTGTAGGAATTGACTTTTAGTGTGCTGTGTACAGTTATGGATACCTCGTACCAAGAATGATGTTGGAGGACAATTCAAAGTAAAGTGACACCACTTATTACTGAAGGGAATGATTTGTGAGGAAAGATTTGAGTGATTTTAATCATTTCTGTGTCTTGACACTGTGGGAATCCTCCTACCAGCAGGTGGTGACAAGAAATGAAAGGCATTTTTTTTAATATCGACCACAATAAAAGAGTTGAGGGAAAACCACGTATGCCCTTTCTCCTGCAGGTGGAACAAACTCTCTGGCTGAGCTCAGCTTTTAAAAGGGGTGTGTGTGTGTGTGTGTGTGTGTGTGTGTGTGTGTTTATCAGTTATGATACTGTGGCTTTGTTGCACAGTTGTATGGGCTACCCTCACTTTCTAGTATGTTCATGTAGTTTTGAATATTCATTACCTTGATGTAGACGGAATGCCTACAAACCTGCCACAGTTGTTGATTTCACCTGATTCATTCATAGGGGAGATTTCAAAGACACAAGTGGGAGTTGAGCATCTAACTGCCCATTTGTTTTTTGAAAATACTCCCCTTCCAGTGTTCCCTATAAGTTGAGTGCTAGGGCAGCCACCAAGGAGCTATTCAAATGCTGCCCAGCTGATTAGCTGAGTGCCCACACCTGGAAGCATGTATTTCTACTTAGTGCACATAATTAATTCTGTACATGTATGGAAAAAATGAGGGAACATTGCCCATCTCCCCAACATAACTTAGATTAATAGATTCGAGGTCAGAAGGGACTATTGTGATCATCTTATTTGACAGGCTATAGAACTTCACTCAATTCCTAAAGCATCTTTTTTAGAAAAACATCAATATTGATTTTAAAAGTTGTTAGCTGCTATAGCAAAGACAAGTGGTTCACAGGCAACAGAATGGGTAGAAAATTATCCTCCTCCCCCCCCCCCCCCAACAACCCCATAGTTTGGCTATGAAATTAAGAGTTGATACTTCTCATGATGGTTACCACTTATCTCAAAGACACTTACTTCTCAGAGGCAATCAGTATCTGTACTACAGGTTGAACCTCTCTGGTCTGGTACTCTCTGGTACAGCATGATTTTAGTTAGCCAGATGTCTACTTATCATGGTTGTAGCCAAGTTTTGCGTGGTACTATAAAGTTTGTTGACAGCCACCAGTCTTGGCTCTCAGTGTTCTGTTATTTGGCTCTAATCTACCTCTAAATATTTAAGAGCCCAGTTGGTAATACTCTAAGACAATCTCGACCTCTCATGGTCCAGCAAATTCTCTGGTTCAGCACCTGTCGAGTCCCAAGAATGCTAGATTAGAGAGGTTCAACCTGTACTAGGAAGCAAAATAAACAGTCGGTAATTTTGTAACATGATCATGCACATAATTAGGAAAAGGAATGAAATACAGTGAAAGGATGAAAGGTACCCCACATTGCCATTTACATACTTACCTGGCTTAACATACCTAAATATTTGTCTCCATTATAGACACTTCTTCCATACCCAAGAGCTTTATAAATCATTTTGAATTATTCAAATTTAAGTTAGCAACAAAACCAAAATGAGTTTCCATGATAGAGTGTGTCCATTGTGACATGCAGTTTGAACTCTGCCTCACAAAATGGCAATTATTGTTGCAGACAGCAGTACAAAAGTACAAAGAGTTATAAGCTGAAAAGAGAAACAAAACTATAGGTAGCTTTAGATACTAATATATATGTTTCCTGTAAGCCAGAAGTAGGCAATGAAATGGAGGCAGTTCTCCAGGGTTAGCCCCAGCAGGCTGTTGCTGCTATTTTTCCCTGCACCTCTTGTGGGTATCAGCTAATGCAGCTCCTCTTGGCTGCAGATTGCTGTTCCTGATCGATAGGAGCTGCGAGAAGCGTCACAAATGGACACAGTAATTGCAAATATCTGCGGATGTGCAGATAAATATAGTGGCACCAGGCTAACTCTGGGAAACTGGGTGCTGCCTGTTATAAGTTGCATACTTGTGTAGCTGCTGAGGAGAGATTCAGGTGATTAGAAGAGTGTCCATATCTAGGTTTGTGTTCCTACTGGTTGTGCACATTCACAATACCTCAGTGCACATACATTTTATTCTACACATGGATGGAAAAAATCTGCACATGGATAGAAGAAATTTGAGGGAAGATTGCTAGGTGGCACTGCACCAGAAGCATATACTTATCAGCTGTAGGCTGGTTAAATTGCACCTATTTTAAAAGGGGCCACTTTAAATTCAGTGAGGCATAAAATTAAAAGGGTTAGGTTTAGAAGATAGATGCTAAGATACAGGATGGAGTAACTATGTAATCTGCAGATAAAATAATGTGTAGTGTGATGCTTTTTAAGCTGGGGGCCTTCAATACTTCACTTTATAAAAAAAAAAAAGTGCCTTGCTAAAGTGGTTGTAGACTTCCTTGGTTGCTCTGGTAGCACTCTGTTGGTCACTGAAGCAAGTCGTGGATATAAGCATCTGCATGAGAGTGTTTCATTAGCCGAAGCTTTGTGTTTCTACTCTTCCAACGTAAGCTCTGCTTGCAAAGAGAATTTTCAAACCCCATGTAGTCTGTTAGAAATCCCCATCCTGAGAAGCATATAGCTTTCAGATGAGTGAGGCAAATAAAATTTGTTTGCTTGTTCACAGGGCAACAGAGGAGTAATCAGGAAGGAGAAGTGCAAGAAGACACTGGGAAAACTAGGTTTGGGATGAGGAGTAAGAAGAGAGGAAAAAAGTTAGAATTAAGGATGTTAAGGAATGAGTATTTTGCTAATTGTGTAGTCTATACAATTTGTATCAACTACAGGATTAGTTAAGGGGAGACTCGTTCCAGGACTGCTGCACCTCTGTATTTTAAATGTAGTAAGAGCCCGACAGCTCTTACTACATTTAAAATGCAGAGGCACAGCAGTCCCGGACCTATGCGAGCTGGGACTGCTCGGTCCCAGCTAGTGCCAGGTCCAACATCCCCTGTTAGCAGTGGCCTGGCTGGCTGGCCATAGATAGGGACTGCTGCTGGAGCAGCCTCCCCCACCCCCACCCCACTACCTCTAATAGAGGCAGGGGGAAGGCAGGCAGCATTGTGGAGTCAGCTTAAAAGCCATTTCCTCCCCAGCATCGACTCCTGTTTCCTCTCTTCTCTCCCCCTCCTCCACTTGCTGCCTCTCATACAGAGGCAGCAAGTGGGGGAGGGAGCGAATAGTCAAGTACTTTACTCGACTACATAATAAGCTTATGCTTATTGGGTAATCAAGTATTTGACTACTTGCTTACATCCCTAGTTAGAATGGTTATAAATATGGAGAAATGGCACATGTGCTAGGACATGATGAGGGTGCAGAGTAGGGATGTAATAGTGTAAAAGCTTATAGGTTAATGCTATATACTATGCATTTCCCATCCCCGCTCCCCACCTGCCAGTAAATTTTTTTAGCAGGCTGGCCAGTAGCCTGGCTCAGTCCCGGCTAATGCAGGGTCCAGGGCCTACCCCCACTGTAGCTCTGCATTTAAAGTGTGTTAGGAGCCAGGTGGGCAGGCAGCTTGGTTCAGTTTTGGTCCATGCTGGGTCTGGAGCTCAGCCTCTCCCCTGGACAGAGGCTGCTGCCACCTTGTGCTGCGTCCTTTGTATCAGAGGCAGCAGCATGGGGTGAAAGGCAGCTTGTCCGTGATGGGAACTGATTTTTTTTTTTTAACTGGCTCCCCTTGCGGACCAGCTTTCACCTGGCACCCCATGCTGCTGGCTCTGATACAGAGGCAGCAGCATGGAGTGGTAGGGGGCACCTCGGGAGTGGAGCCTGAGTGCACTGGCTTCTGGCCCCACCCCACAGGGACTATAGAATAGTCAACTAACTGATAAGCATTCATAAGGTTAATCGACTATTCAATTAACCAATAGTTAACATTCCTAGTGCAGAGATCCCACCCAGTGATTCATTGCAAAGGGTCTCCAACAAAGCCGGTTGAAACAATTAATATAGAGAAACTAGAAATCACTATCCTTCCATTGATTAATTTCAGCAATGTTTATTGCCACGTTTAAAAGTTTCAACAAACTAATCAGAATTCTAATCTAAATTGGTGCTTTTTATGAAATCTCATGTCCTCTCTTCCTCCTTCAGTGTGCTAGCATTGCTAGTATACATCTACATCATGGTAAAATCACTGGCCTAAATTAAGAAGTGATGCAAGTTACTCACTTGTATTTCCCTAGAAGACCTACTTTCACCTATCTTGCCCATTTGTAAGTGTTAAATTGCACCACTTGCCTTTTCTCAATTAGTCATTTTAACTTTCAGGCTGGGGCCTTAGCTTCATTTTCTGATGTGTGGGAGAAGCAATAATCTCTGTCATGCTCTTGCATATGTACAAGAGGTATTTATCAAATAAGAGTTTAATGCCTCCTTCACTCCTCTGCAGTTCATAATCCATTTCCCCTCTTTCCAGCATTTCAAGTAGGACCACAAGGAGGAATCTAAGGAAGCTGTGCAGAGAAGAGATTTCTGGACAAGCAGAAGAATGGCTTGAAAGGAGGGTCAGATAAATATTTGTATTTAAAGAGGACATCCTCACTAAGAAAGGAAGGGTTTTGTGATGTGGGAGGGGTTCCAACCTGGAGCAGTGGGTTGGGGCACAGGAGGGGAGTTCAGGGTTTGGGCTGCATTAGGCAGTTTGGGTGTGGGTTGAGGCATGGGTGGGTGTGAAGGATACAGCCTCCAGTTGGTGCTCACCATGCCCAGCTCCTGGCAAGTGGCAACATGTCCATCACATCAGCAATGACTACTTGCCTTCTCTCATACCTAGCATGAGTGGCTAGGAGGAGGAACATGAAGGGGGCATCAGTTGACCAACTGAGTGGAAATGTAACCCCCATATGTTCTCCCCACACTCTCACTGTTCCCTCCATATGGCATGTTACCTGGCAGTGGGCAGGCACTCTGTCTTCTTGCTGTGCACTCGTTCATGCAGCTTCTAGCCATGCTGCTTAGCAGCCATCTGGGACAGTACAGCCAGTGCACTTGGCAGCATCCCAGGCAGGCAGCATGACTAGAAGAGGATTCACTGTGGCCATGCCTCTTCACTTCTGGCTCTGCCTGTTAGCTTTTTGTCTCCTTTGGCATTTTAGGGAGGAATATTGGACCATTTATGTCCCTCTCACACATTGCTCATGGCTACTGATAGCTGCTGAGGGACACTTGTGCTGGGAAGCCTCTTCATATCTGTCTGTTGCCCTGGAACTGAGCAGCTGTGAACTTCCTTGTCCACATCTGCAGAATGGAATTTTCTGTCTAGGTGGGGCGAAGAGAGGAACTGAAAAATATACTTTATGAACATACTTTGAATTTAAAGTACTCTTGGACAATCAATCTGTCATGCCTGTTGAGCAACTTTAAAATAAATCTTTATTTCACTGATTCCAATAAGTGAACCCCTGAAAACATGGATGGTTGGTGTTTCTTAACAGGCACAAAGTTGAGGCAACAGGAGGACCACAGTCTTATCTAGGGTATAGCATCTACAATTAGTGAACCAGCCAAAACAAATAAAAAATCCAGGCTGTTATAATGAAGTCAAAGTTTACACTAACTGCAGCTTTCCTTGAGTAACTTCTTTATGGACTGTTTTTAGTAATACAATCAATAACTTTGACTTCATTGACCTTGCTTTAAATTAGGATAAGAGGAAGTTGCATACCAAATATGGTGGCCCTAACTCTTACTGTTTAGGAGGAGTTCTTGAACAAACAAACTTACAGACAGATGTACTCATATATATATATTTTGAGTACTCAATAAAAGAATGCTATAGAATTGGTGGCGGAAAACTTTTAAATTTGCTGACTTTAAGGGTACATCTAGACTACAAGCCTCTTTCGAAAGAGAGCGTCTAGACTACAAGCAGATTTTTTGAAAAAGCGAAAGTGAGCCACTTTTTCGAAAGAGAATCTAGATGCTCTCTTTCAAAAATGCACAGTTTGCATTCAATAGTGCCCTTTTTCAAGAGTACTTTCCAAAAAAAGGCGTTCTTCCTCATAAAATGAGGTTTACCATGATCAAAAAAACCTGCCGTGTTCTTTCGATTTACTTTCGAAAGAACGCGGCTGCAGTCTAGATGCAGGTGAAGTTTTTTCGAGAAAGAATACTCTGTATCCGTGTCCTGTCGTCTTAATTATGTACCAATCTATGATGCTTTCTTGAGGTACCCAACACCATAAACTACTGTATTACTCTGTCTCAGCAGGAGAGAACTTTGCTGCAGATTAAACTGTGTCAGTTCCCTGTCACGCCAGTTTGTCTCCCCCTTCAGCAAAATCCTCGAGACTCTGCAATTTTCAACCTTATCATGCAGGTAACATTCAGTGAACATTACAGTACTTCCAATACCTTTGCAGTATCCAGCTCTTTTGACTGGACACTCTGCTGCTTCCAAAGAGACAGTACACCTCCCTCTTGCCACCACCTGTTAGTTTAGCTAAGGAAGTCCATGTACTTTAATACACAGCACTGAGTGTATGAAAAAATGAAAAATAAGTTTATTAATGAAGAACAGATTTAAATGATAGTAAGCAAGGAGAACAGAAATAGAAAATTATTACAAATAGAGCAATAGTAAACCGTTATTTTTGTAGTGTCTTAGATTACAGACATGGTCTCAAGAAGTTACTTAGCTCTTAGCATTCTCAACACACATGGCTGGGGATCCACCTTTCACAGATTACAAGAGCACTGGCCTCTCTCATCCTTAACAATGGATAACCAGAAATATATAATTTGGTTGCTCGTTCTGTGAAACAAAGTTCATTGTCCTGTCTCAAAAGACAGGATGACCCCCCCCTTGCGTTCAAACTGAAATCATGCTTTTTGTTTTCCCTTTTCCTGTTGGTTTACCTTAGATGCAAGTATACATTGTTGTCTTTTGTATGTAACCAAGACTTGTCTTTTCCTTCTTGGCCTGTTAGCCTTATCACTGTGTTTTACCACAGATGAAATATATGTATTATCCATTATCTCTGGCTTTCAATTCCTGATGTAAGCAGACTGGCCACTATACATTTCTTTGTCTTGGAAATACCTGGTTTGTCAGCTCTGTTTGTATTGCTTGTTATATACCTATTTTAGTCATCTTTCCAACATCCCTAGATAACTCTTACACACTAACTGTACACACAACACAAGAATATCAAAGTGTAATCAGTTTTCATTATAAGAATATATATTGTGACATCAATGTATTATTTGTAGTGAGTTTGTCAGGTATTGCAAAGGTTTTAGTTTGAGATAGTGAACATACTGAAGGCTCACAGAATCTCTCTCAGCCATAGTTTGTCATCTGTAAATTTTCAATGATGATTTTTATGTTTTCTTCCAGATCATGGATAAAAATATTAAATAGCATAGAGCCAAGAACAGTTGCCTTTGGAACATGTTAATTGGATGCTGATTATATTTTGAGACTGATCAGTTAGCCAGCTTTTAATCCATTTAATATGTACTAACTAGGAATGTAAGCAAGTAGTCGACTAACCGATAAGCTTAGGCTTATCGGTTAGTCAAGTCGACTACTCGCATTTTCCCCCCCCCCCCCTTCCCCCCCCACCCTCCGAACCCGGACAGCAATGGAGGGAAGCAGGAACTGGTGCTGGGGAAGCCATCTTAAAAGCCGGTTTCCCCCCTAGTACTATTTCCGCGGTGCCGCCTTCCCCCCCGCCCCCCCACCGTGGGAGGAGAGGCTGCCATGAAGCAGCCTTTACCTGGCTCGTGCCGGGTCTGGGACCTACCCCCACTGTGGCTCTACAGTTTAAATGTAGTAGGAGCTGGGCTGCCTGCCCAGCTCTTAGTTCTTTTAAACTGAAGAGCTGCAGTGGGGGGTAGGTCCTGGACCCGGCGCAAGCAGTGACTGAGCACCTTCCCCTATTGACTAATCATGTAATCGATTAAAAATTCTATCGACTACATGATTAGTAAAATACCTGTTCTTAACATCCCTAGTACTTATATAAGTCATATCATCATTACCTTAAACAAACAATCAATCTTTTAATAACATTAAAATATCAAGTTAAATCTCTGTATTTCATAATCTCAGTGATTGGCATTAATTATTTTACTTTCCTTTAATTCTATCTTAATCAAATCCCATATCAACCTCTCCATTATTTTGCATGAGAGTGATGTCCTACTCATAGGTTTCATTTATCCTTTTAGAAATTGGCACACTAGCTTTCTTCCAGTGTTCTGTAATTTCCCTGGTTTCCCAAGATTTACTGAAAATCAGCATTAATGGTCTAGTGATCTTCTTAATCAGCTCTTTTGAAACTTGTGAATGTGAATGATCTAAGGCAGTTTTAAGATCAACAGGTTAACTTCAGTAGCCACTGTTCAACATCCTCCCATGTTACTATTGGAATGGAAGAAGTGTTGTTATCATAGAATATGACCATATAATCTGTTTTCCTCCAAATACAGAATAGGTTTTGGTTTTTTTTTGCATTTTCTCCAATATCCGGGATAATTCAATCATTCCATCTAGCAATAGACCAATACCATTTTTAGGATTATTTTTATTCTTACTATACTTACTGTCCTTGATTCTGCTAGTCATCAACTTCTTTGTGCCCTGTACTTGCCTTATCAGTTTTCTACAGTTCCTAGTTTCTGATTTATATCCATTATTACTGTTGATTTCCCATTTCTTTCATTTGTTAATCTGTCTTCACTTCCCTAGTGAATCAGGCTGTTCTTTAACCATTTTGTCCTTTCCTTAATTGTTGCCTTTTGAGCATCCACTAAATAATTCCTAATTGAACAATACATATTTTCAATTTAAATTCTGTTTAAATTTTGAACATTGAGCTTTGGAGTTCTGCTTTGATTTACTTTTAGGAGCTTTGTCTTAGGAATAGGATTGGCAAAAGCTTGTGCAGGGCTTGCTAGAATATGGCCTGTGGGCCAAATGTGGTCCTCCAATCCACTGAATCTGGCCCACAAGCCAGTGAGCAGCCTCAGGGAGGCTCCCTGCCTGCTCCACCCCTGCATGCTGCTCAGAAAAGTGGGTGTGGGACCCTGATTGTGTTTGAACAGCTGAGAGCCCCAGGGAAGAGGGGAAGAGGCTTTGTGTGCTGCCTCTGGCCCCAGCACACTTGTTTCCGGCCAATGGGAGATGCCTGTTTGAAGAACAGGCAACACACGAAGTATACTTCCCCACTGTCCCTCAGGTTCACAGCTATTCATGGAAGTACATATTCCCACAGTCTGTACAGGGGCATGGAAGACCCCACTTCCCCACAAACCCTATGCCCCCTCCTGCACTCAGACCCCTCCCAGACCGTGCACCCCAATTCTTTGCTCATGTCACAAGTCCCTCCTGCCCTAGGTCACAACCCAAATCCCTGCACCCCTTCCCAGCACCTGCGCTCCAGTCCTCTGCACCAGGTCATAACTGCCTCCTTCAGAGTACGACCCTGACTCCTTTCCAAATTCTTGGAGTGCCCCCCCCCATCAAAAAACTATTGCCCACCTGAGCTAGTGCTTCATCAGCTTTTAGCGTTAGGCACTAAGTGCCATTTTGTTCATGGATAAAAGAATTGTGTGCAAGCTGTATTTGTGTTACGAGTAACAGCAAATAAACACAAATTGATTATTATAATTACTGCTGTTCATGATGGCTTTGGGTATATATTCTCACCCTGCAAGTTCTTTATATAAAATTAACTTGTGGAATAAACAGAGTAAGGGGGGCATTCCCTCAGAGTTCATTTGGAGGCAATGTTTGCCTTTCATTAATATATCAAAGGGAGACCAGTTTCTATTAGCCTGTAGTTATCAGCTTAGTTTGGGGCTTGTTATTTTAATATGCAAATGTTATGAGTTATGGGAAATTAATGTGGTCCAGACTGACATAAAAGTGCCTTTTGAAATTCTCAATATCCTTTCAGCTCAAGTTTCTCAGAAAAGTCATGTTCCTGGTGGCAGAAATTGGCCTCCTTTGCTATTTTTTTCATCATACTTTATTCTACTCCATTTCTAACATCAATGTGGTTTTGTTTCATTGTTACAGAAGATCTTTCCAACTCTGATCCCCATTGCCCAGTAACTTTTATTTTGGGATTCCTCCCTGTCCTTCTCCCTCCCCTGCTGCCAGTGGAAAGTAATTCTGATATTAGTCTTTTGCCCATCTGGCATGTAAATACCTTGCAATGCCAGTTACAGCACCATAGGACGTCTGTTCTCACTTTTAGATGACATTATGAACCAGAACAAGGTATCCATATCCTCTGAAAATGTAAACAAACTTGACTAAGCAATGGGCTGAGTGGACTTGTAGGCTCTAAAGTTTAACATTATTTTATTTTTGAATGTAGTTATTTGTGTACAATTTTTAATTTGTAAGTTCAACTTTCACGCTAATGAGATTGCACTATGATACTTTTATTAGATTAAATAAAAATACTATTTTTGGTTTTTAAAGTGCAAATAAGTTCTGTTATATTTCGGTAAGTTTTCTGTTCTGCTGTGTTGCAAGTCCTCTTTGCCAAATCCTGTCTGTAACAGACTGTGGTCAGTAACAGAGTTAGGTTGTGAAATTTTAAATTTGTGTCTGTTCTCATTTCTCTTGGCTCAGCCAAGTTGTCATGTATCTTGAACAGATGTTTACAATTGTCAGAAGATTTTGCCTGCATCCAGGGTCATTGGGCGTGAGTGAGATGACTCCTCTTTGATTGCTCAAACTTTGACTGGCCACTGCCAGTCAAATTCTCAGTCTGTTTTTGTAATTATGGAAGAAGTCTTGCTCCTTTTTGTTGTAATATTTTGTCCAGTTGTAATTTCTGGGTACCTTCCTCACTGTCATTTCCTTAGTCATAATTTTGTTTTTGTCCCACATTTGGTAAACCTCTTGTAAAGGAATTCATCAAGTGACTTTGCATATTGAAACTGTGGAGCTCTATAGTTGAGTAGCACTAAATGTGGATCTTCTCTTGCTTTTTTGAGCAAATTCTTCATTATACGCTGTCCCTATTCATCAAATCCATTGTTTGAGGCTATCTGGGAGTAGATCTCTCATGATGGAAGTTCTACATTTTAGCAGAGTCCAGGAATTTGCTATTTAACTATTCACTATCAGCTATTACTGTTCTTGGAATTCCCTTATGTGCAAATAATGATGTAATGTGCCCGACAAGTGTTGTTGCTGAGGTATCTGCAAGTCTGACTACTGGGAAATTGAGAAAGTGGTGCATTATAACTAGGTGATAAGTTGTTTGTGAGGTATCATTGGTTCTTGCTGCTGGGAATCTCTGTACTTTTGAATATTGCACACCGGAGCTCCCTGTAAGCCATATGCCCATAGCTAGGTTTTTTGTTTCTATTGGCTGTGTACATTCACATATGCCTTGGTGCGCGCACACCTGTATTCCACAAGCAGCTGGAAAAGATTAGAGGGAACATTGTTGCATACCTGCCCACTTTTTTTATGCCACTATTCATCTGGGGGAAAGAATACAACTTATCTAGCTCTTATTTTTGATTTGGCGATTCCCAGGTATTCTTTATGTATTCATTCCAAAGTTTTCCTTTTGTGCCTTCTTTTAAGAGCACTGAAAGTTGACCTTTAGTGGGAATAGTTAAATGGAAATGGTTCAATTTCCCCCTCCCCCTTTTTTTTCCTCACTTATATCATTACATGCAGCATTTTATCTTAAACTGTTTCTATCTTTGGTTCATCCCATATGCCCAGTTATACATCACGTGATATCATAACAAATGTTCATGTGTATGTTTATTGCTTGTTACAGATCATCAAGATGTATATTGATGGAGCATATGCTCTTGAGTGTATGTCTGCCATTACTAAGCAGCATCCAGGTTGAATTCAAAACCACCTTGACAAATTAGAGAATTGGTTTGAAATAAGCAAGATGAATAAAGACAAGTGTGAAGTATTACACGTAAAACGGGGGAAAAAATCAAATGCACAACTACAAAATCAGGAATAATTGGGTTGGCATTAGTACTGCTGGAAAGTTTCTGGGGGTTATAGTAAATCACAAATTGAATGAGTGAACAATGTGATGTGGTTACTAAAGAAACATTTATCATCCTGGGGTGGTTAACTGGAGTGTCATATATAAGTTATGGAAGTGAATTGTCATGCTTTGCTTAGCACTGGTGAAGCCTGAATTGGTATGCTGTGACCATATTTGGAAAAGATATAGGCAAATTGGAGAGAATCCAGAGAAAAGCCAAAAAAAAAGTTAGAAAACTTGACCTGTGTGGTTTAATGAACAGGCCATGTTTAGTCTTGAAGAGGAGGCTTATGGGATACCTGGCAAGTCTTCAAATATGTTAAGGTCTGTTTGAAAAGAGGACAGTTTATTTGTTCTCCAGGTCCACTGAAGGAAAAGCAATAAATAACTGGCTTAATCTGTACCAAGATAGGTTGAGTTAGACATTAGAAGTTTATCCTAAATATAAAGGTAGTTAAGTACTTGAATTGTACTCCATAGGAGGTCGTGGAATCCCTATCATTAGAGATTTTTAAAAACAGGTTGGGTAAGCACCTGTCAAGGATGGTTCAGGTTTACTTGCTCCTGCCTTTACACAGGTGGCAGATGGGAAGTGTCTTGTAGCCCTACATTTCTGTGATTCTTTGAGACTCCTGGATCCTGTCATAAATTTCTGTATTTTCAAAGGTAGTTATTGTAGCCCTGGAGGTGCTTCTCCAGACCCCTTACCGTGTATTGCAGTCAGTGGTTTGTGATCACTTTCTGATCTGAAACTACAACCATAGTGAAAGTAGTACAGTCTTGTATATCCACATATCAGACGGTGGTTTTTTCTTTCAATTTGTATGTACAGGTTGGACCTTCCTTTTCCAGCACTCTTGGGACCTGCACAGTCCTGAAGGAAGGAGTTTGCTGTTGGCCCCACAGGGATCCTTACTGCTCACCGTCCACCAGGATATTCTGGTCATGCAACATCCATGCTGGACCATGGATGTTGCCGGACCAGAGAATTCCTGTTATGAGAGTTTCAACCTATACTATGTGCAAAGTCTGGGCTTGCACTTCTGCATCTGCTGCGGTTAGAAGCAGAACAATATTTGGCTTATTCTCCAGTTAATTTGCCCTTATGGATTTCATTTACTGTCCAAATTGCCATTTGAACATTTTCCACAAATGTTCAGCTTTCCCCTGATTCCCAGGAATGGAGGGGGACTAAGCTACAGCTGTAGATTCATTTCCAAGTTAACTCTCTTTCATTGCGGTATCTTAATAAGCAGACTGATGTAAGGATAAACCCTTTATTGTTATTATTAAAAATAACTATGTATAAAATTAGCTAACAATTTTCACACTGCCTTGTGTAGCTGCAGCCTGCAGCTGCCCAGTCCTGGAGTTATTTGTTTCTGTTAATCAACAGGAAAAGTCATCAGGGAAATCAAATACTGCGTAAGAAGTGTACAGGAAATGTGGCATCTCTACCCTTTTTGGAGGATTTGCAGTATACAGATTTGAGCATATCATCGTTCTCTTCAAAGCTCTGCGCAACTTGCCTCTACATCTGTGTTAATTTTCTGTTAATCCTATCTTGTGTTGCTTTCCTTTCTTCATGCCCCCTTTTAAAATGTGTGTGGTGTGGTTTTTGGGGGAAGGGTGGTTGGTATACATTTTGCATTTTTCTGTTCATGTATTAGTCTATGGAATCCCTCACATTTAGAACTCTCACTTATTGTATGGGGAACAATCAATTTTTTCTTTAAAAACTTCAAATACTACTTTCTTAAAGCCTTTAGAATTAAATTCAGTTTTAAAATATTTTTTTCTGTCTCTTTATTTCTCAAGTCTGGCTTCGTTTAGTGTTACAAATTGTACAGGCCTCTGCAATAAAAGTTTTATAACATTTATAATATTGTATATGAAGAAGCTTGTAAAGACAGCTGATCTAATTAAAGCTACTCCTTCTGAAATTTCTTCATTGAACCCCCAAGCTTAATCAGAACAGAGTACTAATGGGTTTCGAGGCTGAGCTATAGAAACAAGTGGGGTTTTTTTGTTGTTGTTTTGTTAATTTAAAACACGGTAAAGTTAATCAGTCTCGGTACAGAAAGTTCTTCAAGTGCTTGCTCACATCCATTCAACATAGATGTGTGTTCCTGCCACATGCACTGGTGCTGGAAGTTTTTCCTTAAGCAGTACTGGTAGGGACAGGGATCCCTAGTGCTCCCTGGAGTGGTACATGCATGACTCACTATATAGGACGCCCCGGCCCCTCCCTCCTCAGTTCCTTCTTACCCTCCGTGATGGTGCTTTGGAACAGCTTGCTCTAGCCTTAGCTGAGAAAACTCTCCCTTTGCATTGAAGGTGCTAACTACTTTCTGAATGGTATCCTTCCTGCCTTATGGTCCACTGACTTTGATCTTTATGTACTCAGATTTAACACCCTTTCTCCTGATACATTATGCATAGAGGTAGGGGGTGGTCGACAGAACATCTTTCTCTCTCTTTTTCTCCCCCCCCCCCATTTATTTCGAGTTTCCTTATCCTCTAATCATAACTCCGGTCATCTGAAGAAGTGGGCTGTGCCCACGAAAGCTCATAATACCATTTACATGTTTTGTTAGTCTATAAAGTGCTATCAGCCCATTTGCTTGCTGTTCTTTTGCATTGTTGATAATTCTCAAGAACTACTAAGCACCTGTAAATTGTTGGACTTCCAATTTCCTTTGAAGAGACTCTGCCTGGGGGATGGGGCATGTACTGCCCTCTGGTTTCAAAGCTTGCGCAGCATGTTTCAGGCCCATGTCATTCAGCTATCAGCATGCTGACTGACTGCATTGACATCAAACTAGCTACAGGCATAAAGGGAAACAATAAGACCTTTTATAAATACATTAAAAGCAAGAGGAAGACCAAGGACAGGGTAGGCCCACTGCTTAGTGAGGAGGGAGAAGCAGTAGCAGGAAACTTGGAAATGGCGGAGATGCTCAATGACTTCTTTGTTTCGGTCTTCACCGAGAAGCCTGGAGGTGTGCCTAACGTAGTGAATACAAGCAGAGAGAGGGTAAGTTTAGAAGATAGGCTACACAAAGAACAAGTTAAAAATCACTTAGGAAAGTTAGATGTCAGCAAGTCACCAGGTCCTGATGAAATGCATCCCAGGATACTCAAGGAGCTGATAGAGGAGGTATCTGAGCCTTTAGCTATGATCTTTGAAAAATCATGGCAGACGGGAGATTCCAGAAGACTGGAAAAGGGCAAATATTGTGCCCATCTATAAAAAGGGGAATAAGAACAACCCAGGAAACTACAGACCAGTCAGGTTAACGTCTGTTCCAGGGAAGATAATGGAGCAGGTAATTAAGGAAATCATATGCAAACACTTGGAAGGTAATAAAGTGATAGGGAATAGCCAGCATGGGTTGTGAAGAACAAGTCATGCCAAACTAATCTGATAGCTTTCTTTGATAGGATAACGAGCCTTGTGGATAAGGGAGAAGCGGTGGATGTCATATACCTAGACTTTAATAAGGCATTTGATACGGTCTCGCATGATATTCTTATTGATAAACTAGGCAAATATAACTTAGATAGGGCCATGATAAGGTGGGTGCATAATTGGCTGGATAACCGTAGTCAGAGAGTTGTTGTTAACGGTGCTAAATCCTGCTGGAAAGGGATAACAAGTGGAGTTCCGCAAGGGTCTGTTTTGGGACCCGTACTGTTCAATATCTTCATCAATGACGTAGAAATTGGGATAGAGAGTACGCTTATTAAGTTTGCAGATGATACCAAACTGGGAGGGGTTGCAACTTCTTTGGAGGATAGGGACATAATTCAAAATGACCTTAGCAAGTTAGAGAAACGGTCAGAGGTAAACAGGATGAGGTTTAATAAAGAGAAATGCAAAGTGCTCCACTTAGGAAGGAACAATCAGTTCCATACATACAAGATGGGAAGCGACTGTCTAGGAAGGAGCATGGCAGAAAGGGATCTAGGGGTCATAGTGGACCACAAGTTGAATATGAGTCAACAGTGTGATGCTGTTGCAAAAAAAAGCAAATATGATTCTAGGTTGTATCAATAGGTGTGTTGTAAGCAAAACTCGTGAAGTCATTCTGCCGCTCTACTCTGTACTAGTTAGTCCTCAGCTGGAGTACTGTGTCCTGTTCTGGGCGCCACATTTCAAGAAAGATGTGGAGAAATTGGAAAGGGTACAGAGAAGAGTGACAAGAATGATTAAAGGTTTAGAGAATATGACCTATGAAGCCAGGCTTCATGAACTGGGCTTGTTTAGTTTGGAAAAAAGAAGATTAAGGGGGGACATGATAGCGGTTTTCAAATATCTAAAAGGGTGTCACAAGGAGGAAGGAGAAAATTTGTTCCTCTTGGTTTTTGAGGACAGGACAAGGAGTAATGGGCTTAAAGTGCAGCAGGGGAGGTTTAGATTGGACATTAGGAAAAAATTCCTAACTGTCAGGGTGGTCAAATATTGGAATAAATTGCCAAGGGAGGTGGTGGAATCTCCCTCTCTGGAGATATTTAAGAACAGGTTAGCTAGACATCTGTCAGGGATGGTGTAGACGGAGCTTGGTCCTGCCTTGAGGGCGGGGGGCTGGACTCGATGACCTCTCGAGGTCCCTTCCCTTCCAGTTCTATGATTCTATGATTGCCTGGGGAGAAGGACATGTCTTGGACAACTGTCGCATTTGCAGGTCCTTCAGTCCCAGAACTATTAGTGAAGCATTCATCTTAAAGCACTGGCACCACAGGATCAGTGGTTGGACTTGGCCCCGGTGCTTTGGTGCACGGTGCACTACCAATGTTGAAAGCTCAGCTCCAGTCCTCGCTCATGGTCCTGGCTAGGCCTGCTAGGAAGCTGGGCAGAGACAAGTCCCCTCATAAGGATAAGGAGACAAAGAGGGATCCGCCAGTGGACAGGCCAGAAAAGCCCCAGAAGGCATCGAGCCTGGCATCTAGGTCACCTTCATCAGTACTGGAGGTCCACCTTCCCTCCATGTCAGAGGCCTTCCAGGCCATATAGGACATAAGTGCTATGCTGGTACCATTCCAGATGCCGATATGGTCCTAGCAAAGCGGTAAATCACTGTTTGGCTCCCAATCTCCTGGCACAGTCCGATTAAGCTCTCCTATGGTGTCTGAGAGGTGGGCATCCTGAAGTCCCTATAGGTCTGCATGTGAGACACAAGGGCACGACGTGAAATCTCCCGTGTCTCCGGAGTCGGTGCACAGACTTGTGCAGGCATGTGCCCCCAGCACCAGAGGCATTGAAGGGACAATGACTCTCCCTAATTGCCACACCAATGTCTGGACTCATCTCCACAGCATCGGAACTATTTGCCATGCTGCAGATACTTGCTGGTACTGAGCCTTTCCAGCCATAGATGCATGTCCCACTTCTCCTGGTCCCCATCCTGGCACCATGGAGCTTCTCTCCAGCATTGTTATCCAGTCATGAGGAGTGGCTTTTCAGTGTGTCATAGCTCCCACAGACACTCTGTGCATTCCTGGTCTCGGAGGTCTCCATCAGTAGCATAGTCCTGGCATTAGAGTCACCGTTCCCGCTCCTCATTGTCGGCATCGGCGAGCATCCTCTCCTGCAGCATGGCTTTGGAGGTGGCCTCCATCCGGCAATTGGAACAACCCTCAGTGCTGTTGACATCAGCACCACTGGTGCCATCCCTGGGCATATTGCTGCCACCATCTCAGTGTCGGGTGCAATGGTGCCCATGGATTCCCTAGGGCTTCCCGGTATAGCCCCAACTTACTCGCTTGGTTGCTGGAGAGTCAGAGCCCCTTTCAGTGCTGCCGGAGTCTCACGAGCCTCGGGGGGACACAGGGATACCAGTTCCCCACTCCCCCAACAGATGGCTGCAACGAATGACCACCTCCTGCCTCATGAGGAAGGTCAACCACCCCTGGCCGCCACCTCTTCATCGAGGATGAGGCGGATTGTGGTTTCTTCCCCGGCAGTGCCCAAGGAGGACTCGAGAGCCCATCAGAACTTCCTAAGGAGGGTGTCTAGTGGCTCGGACCTTCAGGCTGAGGTGATGCAAGAGACCTCGGACTTGTTGTTCGGGGTCCTGGGTCAAATAGGGCCTGGCAGAGTGGCCTTGTGACTGCCTCGTGCAGGGACCAAGATTGGCAAGACACTATGGCAGACCCCCTCCTTCATCTCACCTATAACCCAGAGGGCTGAACAGAAGTACTTTGTCCCTGTGAAGGACCTTTACATCTACTCACCACACAACTCCCTTGTCATAGAATTGGTTACCCTCAGGGAGCACAAGAGCCAATTGGCCCTCACCCCCAAGAATAAAGATGCCAAACAATTGGACTTGTTTGGTAGAAAGATTTATTCTTTGGCCAGTTTTTCAGTTAAGGGTGGTGAGCCACCCAGCTTTGTTTGCCAGTTATAAGGTAAATACCTGGCAGGTGCTGGCCAGATTCAAGATTCAAGACCTCTTTGTCCAAAGCCTTCTGCAAGGAGTATAAGGCCCTGATCGAAAAAGGGTCCTCTGTGGCGCTGGTGCCCTTGCAGGTCGCATCAGATGCCGCCGACTTAGAGGCTCGCAGTATGGCTTCCACAATCTTCATGAGGTTTGCGGCTTGGCTTCTTCTATTGTCTTTCTCCGGGGGCACAGAAATCCATTCAAGACCTCCCTTTTGACATGGGGCACCTGTTCCCACAACAGGTGGACACACAGTTGCATGGGCTAAAGGACTCCCATACAACCTGAAAACCCTAGGCCTCTATATCCCGGGTTTGAGAGGAAAAGGTTTAAGCCCCAGTCCTCTCAACCAAAGGGCCAGTATCCCCTTCCAGAGAGATCCCCTTCACACCCAAAGCCCTCCAAGCAGAGATAGGGCCACCATCCTCCATCTGGCCAATAATCGAGTAGCCAGGGGCAACCCCAGGGCAAGTGTTTCTTTTGAGGGTGCACCTGGGGACAACATACTGGACTTCCAAGATCCTGTACACCTGTTCTCCTTCAGGCTCCATCAACTTCTTGAACAGTACCTATCCTGGTTGCTCCAGGTGAGAGCAGTGCAGAGCGTACTGCCAGAGTTCGGGTGTGTCTAGACTACATGCCTCCATCGACGGAGGCATGTAGATTAGACAGATCGGCAGGGGGGAAAGAAGGAAGGATTAAAATAATCGCAGCTTCATTTAAATTTAAATGGCTGCCCCACTCTGCCAATCAGCTGTTTGTCGGCAGATCAGGCAGTCTGGACGCTCCCCAGCCGACATGAAAGCCCCTT